CCCTAGACAAAGCAGAGAGGGGCCACCCAGAACCCCCTCTGACAGGCAATCTGAATTCTTGCTTAGGCTGCGAGGCTAAGCACTGCAAGGGAATATAAATAAAAGATAAAAATATCTCTCTGGTTTCCCTGAGAGACAAGCCTGACTGCATAGGGGTTAATGTCAAAAGTATCCCCTCTCTAGGAAAAAGACATCGGGACGGGTGTGGCCCTCATGCCTCACTGGACAACAACAGGGGGACTGGAGCCATTACAAGGTCCCCTTCAATTACTGGAGGTCAGGCCTCTATCCCCGCCTTCGAAAGATTAGAATCGCCACAGCCCTTCTATACCTAGAGAAGGGAGGAGATGTCAGGGGCATCCCTGCTTATACACTGAAGGCCTAAAATCAGCCATAGACCTAAAATCAGCAATAGGCCTGTAATGCATGTATACTAACACCAAGTCTTGGGTCTCAGTGGAAAAACATTGAAACAGATGGCTATAAGGTATTGTAAACAGGCAGCTTTTGTGGAAATTTACCAGCCTGAGTAGTCATAGACCTTGTAAATAGGTAGCCTTGGCAGACAATACCAACTTAGATAAGGACGAGTGAGTCATAGGCAGAGTCATAGTGAATTGTCCCCTGAACTTTCACCCAGCTGATACCCGGTTCTGAAAGATATCTGTATTTCCCCTGAACACCCACACTCCAGTGTCATTCCCTTCCCCACATCCTGCCTTTCTGTGTTTATAACCCCTGTGTGAATAAATTACAATTTGAGAAAAAATAAATTATTTAAAAAAAAAAAAAGGAACATCTCAGCTCTAGAACAGCATTACAGTATCACCGATTTTGTGCCTGTGTATTTACCTATGCCAAATTCTCATTGCTACTTTCTTGTTTTTAGGGCCCTGGAATGGCAAGGAAGTTCTCTGCTCCTGGGCAGCTGTGCATTTCCATGACCTCAAACCTGGGTGGCTCTACCCCCATCTCTGCAGCATCTGCTACCTCTCTAGGTCACTTCACCAAGTCCATGTGCCCCCCGCAGCAGTATGGTTTTCCAGCTGCCCCATTTGGCACTCAGTGGAGTGGAACAGGTGGTCCAGCACCACAGCCACTTGGCCAGTTCCAACCTGTAGGAACCGCATCCTTGCAAAATTTCAACATCAGCAATTTGCAGAAGTCCATCAGCAACCCCCCAGGTTCCAACCTACGGACCACCTAGTCAGCAGAAAGGATGTTAACGGAGTAGATTTGGGGGCAGGAAATGGAATGCTGGGGGGTGGGGGGGTGGGAAGTAGCCTATATACTAACTACTAGTGCTGCATTTAACTGGTTATTTCTTGCCAGAAGGGAATGTTTTTAATACCATTTTGAGCCCTCAGAATGGAGAACTACCCTCCTTCTCCATTTGTTGGAGTCAAAAAAGAAGGAAAGAACAGCTTTCTGGTGGAGGGGCTGCCTGAGATTGCTTTTCTGTTTTTGTACCCACCAGTAAGGCCTAGAGCTAGAAGAGAGCCTTGTTCCCAGAAAGCCCCAAGAGCTCAATGTAAGCCAAACCCCATATGTATCTGTACGTGGGTGGAGCTCTTAATCTTGACATGTGCCCCAAATTCCGTATTCCCTCAACAATGTACACCTTAAGACAAAAAGATTCTCTCCCACTCTGATCCCTACCCCCACTTTTTTTTTCCCTTTTACAACCTAGTGAAAAACACCAGGGGACTGGGGTTGCAACCCTTTCTTACATAGGTCATTAATGCTTTAAGCAGAAGATATTAGCAGCTTTGACTGCAGCATTAGCCATTAGGGAAAACAGTGACGTTCCCTGTGGACATGTAACTTTGCCATCAGTTTTGATGTGGAAACACTGTGATATATAAATGTTGTTGGACAACATTAGTTTTAAGAGTAAAAATTGAAAGGTTTAAAAGGTTCACACACACAAAAGCTAGCTCTGTCCTTTACTTATTAAGACACTTTAACTTTTCCTTTGTATTTCCATTGTATTAGATAATAAATGTGAATGTAAAATTGTATAAATTACTGTACTTGAATACTTCTGTTCTCCCAGTATTGCTTGCTGGATATTTTAGTGCCTTGGACTTCTATTGCTTCTGCTGTTAGCATCAACTTACCAGACCCCAGGTCACCAAAGGGTATGTGGAAAGAAATCTTAGGTCCACGTGACCCCAGCAGTGGATATGCCAAAGGGAAAATGAAAGTGTTTTTGGTTTTGGTTTGATTTATTTTTTTGTTTTGGTTTTTTTTTTGTTGTTTTTTTTTTTTCAATCGTTCAGCAGTTGCCTAGAGCAGGTATAAGGTGAGCACAGTGAAGTTGGCATCAGTGGTTGAAAACAAAGTTCTGTTTCAGAAAGAATGAGGAGGGTTGTGAGCGGTGTGAAAGACGAGGACTGGAGATGTGGGGGGCGAGCTTGTTTGAAGAGATGCCTGGCCAGTGAACAAACAAGACCTAGAAGAGGGGAGTCACAGATGGAAAATGTTGCTCTAAGGAAACCTGCTTGCTTGCCCTCACCTCTTGTTGCACATGTACCACACATTTCTCTGCTTTAAGTACTGTATTGTGGGAATTCAACCCACTTCTGACTTTCTAAGCATTGTAGGAAAAAGTGCTTATTTCCTTTCCTAACCCTTCCACAATGTCCAAATGGCTGCAGTCAGAATCTATTGTTGCTGCCTGTACTTTTATATTAGAACTAATACTCTCACATTTTCATGCCCATATCCCCAAATAACAGCAACCAACCAGTATTATCTAGTTTTTTTTGGCAGTAGGGACCTAATTGGCTATTTGGGATCTGAATATTCTGAAAAGTGGAGAAAAGTAGAACTCGTCATTTCTTGGGTGCTTCCTCCTTCACCTTGAGTTATGACACATCCCAGGAGTTGCCACACTAGCAAGAGCCTGGCTTCTTCCTTTAAGAGGCCTGTCCTTTTTTTAAGTTGGTTGAGGCCCAAAGATATAAGTGAGAGCTGGAAGTTTTAGGAGAAGGAAGTGTAATGAGCAGGGCTTTTGTTTCAGGTCCTGCTACCAAAGTGTTGATTCATTTATTCCTTGGGAGAGGGTAAGAGGTATTGTGGGAGGAAAGCGGGTCGCAGGATGACTGAGTGCTTCGTACCAGCAGTAGAGGGAGCCAAATGCAGCATGTGGTGTTTGGCTTTAGTCATTTTGAGGTCTGTTCCCCCCTTCACAAAGGTTTACTTACTGTCGATTTCCCCCTCCTGTGGATGAAATAACTGAAGCCTAGAGAAACGAGCTAGTGCTACTGAACTGTTTAAATTATTTTTGTGTTAATAGTACACTTTGAGTATCTTTTTCCACATTTAAAAAGAACTTTCTGAATTATAAATGTTTTCCTTACGTTATTTAACAATGTACACTGTTTAAAACTGAATTCAAACCTTGGGGTTTCTCAGCAGCCGTTAACTGTACATTTTGCACTAACTCCGGGTGTTGCGCTTCTTGTAAGATTGCGCTTTGTGCTTCAGTTTGTTACCTTTGTAGACTTATTTAATGAAACCATTCAAATAAACCAAACTTGCTTTTGTTGAACTGTGGGGTGTCCTTTCTAACAAACAAAAAACCCTTCTGTCCTCACTGGCCCTACTTTGAATTTTGTACAACTTATAACTGGATTATTGTTCCCGGGAACTTTTAGTAGCAGTTGTACCCCAAACTAAAATCATGCTGTTAGGGATGAAAATGGTACTTCTCCTTCTCCAAGGAGTTTGTTCCTAGTCTTCAGGAAAAGGCAAAGCAGCAGATGTTAGGAAGCAGGGAAATTATGGCAAACTGCTATTGGTCAACACTTCTGGCTGATATTTGACTTAGGTCCTCAGTTTCCCACAAACAAATCTCGTCCCTGCTTCAAGATCAGGCACAGGGGCTAAAGGCACTTCCTGCCAAGCCTGTGCCCAACCAAAGAGGCCCACATGGTGTTAAGAGAGCACCGATTCCCTCAGCATAACCCTAAATTCAGCTTAAGTAGAGTTGGAAGTTCATTGTTCCTTTGAAAAGAATCATGAAACTTCTGGGTGTGGTGTAGTTAAGAAAGAATAGTTATTTCCTTAAAACACCTATTCCTGGGGCTGCTCTCAGCAGTTAAGAGCACTGACTGCTCTTCCAAATGTCCCAAGTTCAATTCCCAGCAACCATATGGATTCTGGTTCCATTCTTCAAATGAGAAGAGATGCAGTAGCTCCCCAACAACCCATAGTTTTTCACTCAAAAGTTTCAGCCAGAGAAAACACTTCTTTAAAATTATCCATTGTTCATGTATGAAAAGAATCTAACCCTGGATGTGAACTATGCCTTTGCCAAGTACTGTCATGCAAGAAGCCTACCTAACTACCAGTAATCTCAATTGTAAGTTACACCAATTCTGCCAGTATTAGTGTTCAAACATTACTTGATGGCTCAAAAATATGCAGCACTGCTAGGAGCCAGGTGTGGTGGCACACACCTTTAATCCCAGCACTCAGGAGGGAGAGGGCAGGTGATCGAGTTCAAGGTAGTCTGGTTTACAAAGCAACATCCAGGACTACACGAAAAAATCGTTTCAAAAAAAAAAAAAAGCCAATGCCTTAAACACCCTGTTGTTTAAGTGTTGGCACATCTCTAGATAAAGGGAGGCTACTCCGTGTATCCATGTGATCCTGAACTACCACCATGACCTTGTTGATAGCACTTAGTGGAAAACATTAACAACCTGAAGCCAAAGGAAAGGCGAGGTCACACATGATTTAATGTAGGTAACAAGATGGGGTTTGGTGGGCTACATCATTAAGGGAAAGGCAGCCTGCAGAGTCCTAGAATCTCAATACATTGGCTTGGGAGTGAATAATACTGGAAAAAAGTTAAACCATTTATCTGTTGGCCTCCTTCCCATCACAGGGTATGACAACCTTTTTAGTCAGCTTCCTCTGCAGTAGGCTCTAAAGTCCTCTAAAGGGTTCAGCATGAAGCAAGGTAGAACGATTTTGTGACCAAACTGCAGTTTTCCAAAGTCCTTTTGTGAGAGTCTAGTATCATCTTGAGCTTCAAGATGGGTCTACTTTCCTTTTCTTCAGGTCTTGACTCTTCCTATGAGGTTCAGAGTTTTCTGTAGAAGATAATGGTTTAATGGTTTAAATAAAACAGCCTTGACTTTAAAATAAACAGTAACCCCACACACACACATATTTATAGCAGATGTGCAGCTTGGTCTTCATGTGGGTCCCCTAACAACTAGAATAGGGCCTCTCTCACTGTTGCTTGCCATTGGATCCTCTTCCCCTAACTGGACTGCCTGGTTGGACCTCAGTGGGAGAGAATGTGCCTAGTCCTGCTGGAAACAGATGTCCCAGGGTGAGGTGGTACCCAAGGGGGGAGGGGGGCATCTCTTCTCTGAGACGAGGAGGCAGTAATGGGGAGAGGGATTTGTTCAGGGTTGGGACTGGGAGGAGGGGGGGGGGCTGTGATTGGGATGTAATTAGTCATTTCTGGAGTGTATTGGCTTACAACCTTCACTCAGACAACATAGTGAGAGCGCCCCTTGTGGTGTCATTCTCATCGAGACATATCTACCTTGAGGAAGTGATCTGAATGTAGTCAGGACAAGCAGTGTGTCCAACATTTTGGCATTATAAAACACTATCATCAAAGTTTGGAGCTCAAGAGCTGTGCAATCAAGTTACAAAAATAATTAAGTTTGTAACTTTGTCAATACAAACATTCATAACTTTCCCAAGCCTCATGTTGGACACACCTCATTCTAGATCTGAATAGATCTAGACAAGCTGTCAAGAGTCCAAAGCTCAAACCACTATCTTTACCTGTTACTGCTCACTGCCTTAGCACTGCATCCAGCTTTTTTTTTTTTTTAACCTTTGAGACAGGATCTTAATACATATGTATTCCTTACTGGCCTGGTTGAACACAAGGCCTTACAACACACTAGGTAAAATTCATCTTTTATGAGGCATATCTACACCTCATATGGTGCAGGCTGGCCTCAATGGAAATGGCCTCCTACTGAGCCAATGGCGTCCTGAGGGCCAGGATTGCAGGCATGTGCTACTGTGTCCTGTTCCCCACACCCCTTCTTTTTTTTTAGCTTTTGTGTGTGGGTGTTTAGCCTGCTATGTATATCTATGCACTACTTGCATGCCCAGAGTTCAGAAAAGGAGGATCCAATCTCCTTTGGAACTGGTGTTGTAGACAGTTGTGAAGCAATACATGAGTACTAAGAATTAA